AGTTTTCTATCTAGAACCACCCCTAGATCTCTTTATCTGAATTTGTAAAAGTTTTTTTCACATTATTTGTCATAACATGGCATTTATTCACATTTAATTCCATTTGCCAAGTGGTTCTCCATTCATTTATTTTGTCCAGGTCTTCTTGAAGGGCATGACAATCGTTGAAGTTTCTCATCTTCCCTAGTATCTTAGCATCACCAGCAAACATTTTAATTTAATTCTGTATTCCTTCTTGTGGATCGTTTATATAAAAACTAAACATTACTGGTGCAAGAACTGAAACATGTGGTACTCCACAGGTAACACTTCTCCAGTTACATTGCCTCTGATTACTGCCTCATTTTTGGCAGAATTTTTCATTTATGTTAGAAGTCACTTTTAACATAAAGTCAATCTGTCACTTCTTTATTATGTTCCAATTTCCAGAACAACCTCTTATGTGGGACGTATATATGTGGATGACGATTGGTACTAGTCAGGTGGCATGCATCTCGTCTCTGGGACTAGTATTTCACCATCCATGTATTTAAAAGTAATTCTGAAATTGGAAAACGTAGCATAGGCTCCTCGCACAGTGTTCTCTATGTGGACCTCAGGCAGTTGACTTGTCTGACTAGTCTCATCTCTGGGACTAGTCTGGGTGTATACTTCTGGACGTTCTCAATGTTCTTCATGTGCTTGGTTAAGTCGGGGTTCCATGTTGGTTACCTTGAGGTGCTTCCGGGGCTTAGCGTCCCCGCGGCCCGGTCGTCAACCAGGCAGAGGTTACGGGGGACCAGGCAGAGGTTACTAGGAGAGGTAACCTCTGTAGGTTTGGTGCCGTATATTACAACAAATTTTTCACATTCGTGGAGATAAGTGTGATGTGATGTCTATTTCCAACAGGTCCTCCTCTTTCTTGGATAGCTCCAATTGTTTCCCATCAAAGGTAATTGTTAGCTCTGAGTCCCTTTGTTATTTGCAGTTTTCCCAATCAATTTCTCTGTTATTAAAGTTTCTGACAATCATTTTTTTTATCTTTATTTAAGAAAATACAATATAAATTACATATACATAAGTTTTACAAGGCAATTATACATTACAATTCTTAGTGAACAAGTGTTTCAGTAGTACAGAACAAGATCTTTAAAAAAAACTGAATGTTATACTTATTTACCTATAAACGATTTACAAAAATTGGAGAATAAATTTAGCCTTGGTTGTGACAGCTCTGTTGTTGCTGAAATACACCTCTCAGGGTCACAAGTTATTATGTGATGGGTTGTATATAACTTCCATAACACTCATGTTTGGCCCTTAAATCTCAAGTGTTTCCTAATCAGTTGAGACAAATCACCACTTTCTCTTGTTCGTTGTACTTACTTGGAAAGTTGGCATCTGATATTTCTGTATCTTTTCTTGAAGTTCTGAATAGAATTTGTCACATTACCATTTTATCCCTGTCTTAATGTTCGATACTTGAGGCACTTAATGTATATTTCCTTATATCTAGGTGACTCATGTTGGTCTCAAGTGTCTATCTACAGCCTCGTGTTATCTTTATCTTTAATAGTGTCTCTATATCTTCTTTCTTTATGCCTCCCAGTATTTGATCTGCCAAACTCATATCCACTCTGGTTTTTCACTCGTTTAGTATTTGTAGGTTATCTCTTTTGCCCACTTTTTTATACTTCAAATATTGAATTTCTGACCACTTTGTAGATGCGAATCTCTGAACCTTTTTTTTTTTAAATTATTTGCCCCATATTTTTGTATTGGTCTTATACACAGTTTGTGTGAAGTGTTCTGTTGGATTCTTTGATTAAGTTCCTAAAACTCTATTAATTTATTCACTAATTTTGCATATCTTATTAATGATAATCTATTAACGTGTGCCTCTGGTGTGAGGCTCGATGTGCTGAGGGTCCTGGAGCTAGATTCACGAAGAAATTACGCAAACACTTACGAATCAGTACAGCTTTTTTCAATCTTTAGCTGCTTTGTTTACAATTATTAAACAGTCACTGAGTTCCGAAGCACTAGGAGGCTATTTATAACAATAACAACATTTGATTGGCAAGTTTTTCTTGCTTGTAAACTGTTTAATAAATGTAACCAAAGCCGTCAAAGATTGAGGAAAGATGTACACGTTCGCAAGTACTTGCGTAAGTGCTTCGTGAATCTGGCCCCAGTCCATTATGTGCCTCTGTAACCTTTTCCACTACCGCCCACAAGCTGGGTATGGGGTACATAATAACTGAACTAAGATAAATTAACTAACGACATCCAAGTATTGTTCTCTCAAGGTGTGTAGCTTCAGTCTATATCACAACTTTACACTGTCCTGACTGGTACATAATGTCCAGCTTTTATTGTTATTGATCTAAATGCTTTGTTTGATTACTCGCCAGTTTGTTTTATTTGTGTCAATGATAAGTTTAATTTTTTGAGATTGTTTATAACGTAGATTTCCCAAGAGTTTTCGTGTAGGGTATCCCTGCCCCACTTAGACGGCAGTTGGCGTGTTGGGCTAATCTCCAGAGACGCTCAACTCTGTCACCAGGTGTATGTCTCGACTTTTTACCCAGTGACACTGAGATCTGTCTATTATTAGGTATGTTGCTTTGTTTCCATGTTGCATGTGTTCTCTGTCGTATGTGCTTAATCAAAAATATATATAATACACTCGCCTAGCAGGTTTGGTTGAATATCTCGAGCTGAAATATTTGTGTTGAATCCTCTGAGACTCAAATCTTGTATTGGTTGAAAGAAAATTGTAAATGATTCATTTAAAGACATAATAAACATATATAGAAAATGGTATATACAACCCTCCTTACAGCTGGGGGTTGGATTCCTAAAGATATATTTTTACCCCTCTTGTAGGGTTATTATAACCTGCACCATGCTGTAGACTTTTGCTATCATTATGCTTATTAGCGTTATCTGTTAAACCGCGATATGAAACATTCCACTTTCACTGGTAGTATGATGATATAGATTAGAAACATTAGGGGATCCAATACGGAGCTTCGTGGAATACCATTCTCTAATTCCCTTCATCACGATTCTGCCTCCTATAATGCTCTTCCATCTTTAATATTGTTCTTGTGAAGGACTGTATCAAATGCTCTCTGGCATTCTAGAAAAATACAGTCCAATCATATCTGATTTTTTTCTCTCTATCATAAAATTATCTTTTATTTGTTACATGTGATTTCCCTCTCTGAATCCGTGTAGTTGGATATAATGATCATATACACTATAGGAACAAATATAAATATATATATATATATATATATATATATATATATATATATATATATATATATATATATATATATATATATATATATATATTACAGTATTTACATAAGCATGCTACATAAACATTGGTTGCATAAATATAAACAGGCTAAACTCCCTAAATTAAATGTAACCTTAAGGTTATATTTAATTTAGGATGACAGGTTGTATCATACATTATATTAATATTTGACAATCACCACTCTCAGATATAACATTACAAGCTCTATGCTCAATCCTGTTTTTCAAATTACATTTTGTATTTGAATTATATACCTATAACATAAAGCTTTACTTATAACATTCTATGTGACTCAGGGATATACAATTTTGGAATTCTCGTGAAGAGGACTTTTTTTTTTTTGCTACAGATTACATAAGGGTGAAAGTCTATATATACACATAATGCATAGGATCAAAAATGAAACATGAGTGCCAGATGTCCTTTCATAAATGTACATATTAAAATTACCTGAGTTTACCTGAGGGCCACCATCCATCTAGTGGCCTCGAGATATTGTTTTTTTGTTATTATCACACTTAGGTACATCTGTATTTGTGCTGCTACCCTAGACTATATGAAGGGGAGTACAGCCGTGTCAAAAAAACTAGCTACGTGATGCTACAAGTCCCTGAGGCAGGAAGCCAGCTTGTCGAAGACGCTCACGTTTTTTCCTAAGAGTATAGTATAATATAGTTAGATAGGTTTTAAGAGTATAGTATAATAACTTTATTATGTTGTTATAGCATTAAGGCCTTTCATAGGAACCTCTGATCAGAGTGAGTTCTTAATTGCGCTCGAGAATGTCAGAGAATTATGGTGTGTATATTTAGGTCTACGACCTGATCAGTGTATGCACCATTCTACGTCATCGTTACTCTATAAACAAACTTGAACTAACCCAATCTATTCTAACCTATCCTAAGCCTACATCACGAAAACAAGGGGTTTTCAACCTAAGCAAATGCATCATAGCCTAATGATATATATACGGTTTTGCCAAAGCTTTTGTTTATTTAAGCCATATATATATACTGTTAGGTTAGGAAGTTCTAGCTTAGGTTAGGCTATGTGGGGCTAGGTTAGGTTGGTTTGGGTTTGGTAAAGCTAGGTTGGGTAATGTTAGGTAGGTTTTAAAATCCGTTTGTTAAACCGTCTTGTTTACAATGTGACTCATTTTAAACTACTGCCACCAGAAGTGATGCATGAAGTGACAGATATAGATAATTTCAAGTTGTTCGAGCTAGCCAACATTGGTGATGATAAGATCCACTTTAATTTCACACACAAAAAAAAGCTTTGACAATGTTGGGAACATTTGAACTTTACATTTTAACGTAATAAATTGGCAAGTGGAGTAGTAATGATTCAATAATTCTTACATAATCATTGGTCATAAGAGGTTCAATACTTTTCTAGAAATAATTGTACCTCTTTCTTGTTAGTGAATATAATCCAGTTCTTTGGGAAGAGCGTCCAATTTATGAAGGCTTAACCAATATAGATATTGTTGAACCATTGTGCCATCTCCCACATTGTCATAATGGATCACTCGGCTCTGAAAAATGACATCTCGGAAAAAAATGGTTGAATACGAGGCTATCACCTGCTGCTTGTATATACTTCTGATCCACCTGCAAGTGAATTAGTAACTTTTGAACGTTCTGCAGGCACACAATATTTCAAAATTGGGTTAGGTGAAGATTACACAGAGATTAACATAATTTATTGTCTCCTAAACTTTTACAATTTGCCTGGGACAGCGATTTTATATGGCAACGTCATCCTCCTGTGAGTGAACATAGCACATACAAATCCCTCAATAGGAAGAAACCCCGCTGGGTTGCTCATCCAGTCACTTACACCCAGACGCAGCTGGCACTCGCTTAACTGTCTCAAAAGGAACTGACTGTCAAACAAGAGATTAACACCTTACAACCTCAAGTTTACATTATCTTGCGGGAGCGAAGTGGGCGAATCTTTCAGGGACACTGTCTATATTTGGCAAAAGTGTTTTTTCGAAGTCAAACAGTGTGGGATTTATTATACTACACATATTTAAGATGTCTTTTAGATGGACACGAGCTCTCAGGTCCAAATGATGGCCTTCTCCCGTGATGAAGGTTCGCATCTCCGCCGCTCAGTTCTTATTTCATCCTGAGTCTCCAGCTTCTCGCTCTTAACTCTTCAACTCAAGCATTTTTAATTGGTTAAATTGTTACACGTTATGCTGACCATACCCTGTAGTCTCAGGTGCTGTGCTGACCACACCCTGTAGTCTCAGGTGCTGTGCTGACCACACCCTGTAGTCTCAGGTGCTGTGCTGACCACACCCTGTAGTGTCAGGTGCTGTGCTGACCACATCCTGTAGTGTCAGGTGCTGTACTGACCACACCCTGTAGTCTCAGGTGCTGTACTGACCACACCCTGTAGTCTCAGGTGCTGTGCTGACCACACCCTGTAGTCTCAGGTGCTGTACTGACCACACCCTGTAGTGTCAGGTGCTGTGCTGACCACACCCTGTAGTCTCAGGTGCTGTGCTGACCACATCCTGTAGTCTCAGGTGCTGTGCTGACCACACCCTGTAGTCTCAGGTGCTGTGCTGACCATACCGGGCAGTGTCAGGAAGCATATCTAAGAAGGTGATCATAAGGACAGATTAAACATCAAACTCCAACAATAGTGGATATAATATACAATATAACTTATTAAATAACACATTCAACCTAACAATACTAAAATATAGTGAAAAAAAACTAAGAAAACGTATCGTATTCTTCTATAGCCTCAAACTAAAACAATTTCAAAGCACCTTGTGTATTTGTTAATCAGTAGGCTGTCAGTTAAATAATGAATGATCAATGGTGAATGACCTTATATATATTAGACTGTGCTTCTAGAATGATTTAAAATGTCAAATTAGTATTAGAAAAATATATCAGCAGTATCTAATAGAAAGCCAAATGTGACCGAAGGGTGAGTGTTGTCAATGTGAATGACGCCCTCACACACAGCTCCAGTTGGAAGCAGGTCGACAACGAACTGGGTAAAGTAAGCCAGGTGCTGATCATTAATAGATGCTCTAGTCTAATGGATATGTCGAGGAATTCGTCAAAAGGAAGGTGAGCAGTCATCCAACTTCAAATATAACAGACAAGAGTACATTATTAATCCCTACTATTTTAAAATATTCTACAGGAACTTCATCTCCACGGCCCATAAAACAGAAGAGAGGGTCTTGGAAATAGTATTAAAAGAAGTGTGTGACCCCCTACTTACACCAACCAGAGGATTGAGCTGATAATATACTATAAGAGCAAGAAGACTGCCAACTTGCTCATGTAGAACTCCCCCGGACACAAAACAAAACCCCTCTTGAAAGACACTAATGTCGTCTATGCCTTCACACGCCCACTTGGGGACTGTCGGTCCCAACGGATTCATATATATAGGCAAGACAAACACATCACTTTCTAGACGCCTAACGGTGAACACGCAGCAAAGCGCTATTAATGAACATATAGTCACTATATATAACTAGACCATTACTAGAGATATCTGTGCAAAATGACACGAACATAATTGACAGATACTGCAACCACAGAAGACTGGATATGGGCGAGGCATTAGACATAAATTAAAACCGAGCCACGCAACTAGCACCAAATTACACTCTGCCAACTTGCAGAGCACGACGGAACATTCAACATACTGCCCCAGTCATCATGCAAACAAGAGACTGACAAGATATGTTGTTGTTATAGATTCAGCTACTCAGAACAAGTTCCAAGTAGCACGGGCTATGGCGAGCCCGTAACTTACCTGGCACAGGAGTGGGGCAAGTAGCACGGGCTATGGTGAGCCCTGACAAGATAGAATGAACCTGTAAATGAGGCGCTTCACCTTCACCTCATCACCTTCTACCCACCCTCAGGCACATATCATGCAGCAAGAAACTTTGTAATCATCAGCTAACATCCACTTACGGGCTATTCATGCCCGTGCCACCTCTTGGGTGGCTTAATCTTCATCAACCAATCAATTGGTAATCCTTCGAACTCTACCTTTTACAATGTTAACATGAGTGGACGAAACGCGCCTCTTAGCGTCAGTCCAAATAAAGCTGCAAAAAAAAGCTTTGAAGAGTTAATTTTTCAGCTTCCTTCTCAAGTGAAGGAAATGTAAGGAAAATAGAGAAGATTCGTGTTAGAATCATTAATCTCATCCTTTTGGTCACACTCAATAATACCTACAGGAACGACTCCTACCAAAATAGGAGTCTATTTTCAAAATAGGATATATATATATATTACAACAGTTTTGGATGAGGTGAAAACAAACTTTCAACACAAGACAGAACACAAAACAATGGGTATAATATTTTGTAAGTTAAAGGGAAGAATGGAAGTAACTGCAAAGGGCCTATTGGCCCATATTTCTTGATGCTTCTATATTGGTGCTTCTATATACATATATATATATATATATATATATATATATATATATATATATATATATATATATATATATATATATATATATATATATATATATATATATATATATATATATATATATATAGTGACAGTATCGGGCAGCGTCACTCATTGTGGGAGTGAACAACACGCCGCCAGTGAGACATAAGAGATAAGTAAGTTTAGGAGCATGATAATGCCGACCAGGAGCAAGTTACCTGAAGGGTATCCTGATGGTAGGGGGGGGAAGGGGGTCTGCTGTTCAGTATAAACTCTTAGCCAATGGGGAGCTTCGCCACCGGCAGCGTTAATCCACTTCTAGTTTATTTATTTATTTATATATACAAGAGTTCTTACATTTATATATACAAGAGTTCTTACATTTATATATACAAGAGTTGTTACACTCAGCCACTAGTACGCGTAGCATTTCGGGCAAGTCCTTAATCCTATGTTCCCTGGAATACGACCCCCGCGAAGAATAGTTTTTAGAACCCAAAGTACCCATTTTAATGTTGCGTTAAACAGAGGCTCCAGTTAAGGATTTGCGCCCAGTAAATCCTCCCCGGCCAGGATACGAACCCATGACAAAGTACTCGCGGAGCGCCATTTGTCTTACCACTACGCCACGGAAACTGCTACCAAATTAGGGAGTAGGAACTCCCTACATAACACGTTTCAACTTTGGAACGTGTTATGGCACGTTTTCTTTCACCTGGTACCTCTGTTCACCTAGCAGAAAATAGGTACCTGGTAGTCAAACTGTGGGTACATCATGAGGACGTTGGTCAAGGGGATAAGAGTCTACCGGTCTCATGCCTATGACAAATTATACTCAGGGGTCACAAAGTCAACCTTCTATGATCTAAAAGAAGACTATCAAGGCACACGTTGTCAGCTCTATTGTTATTGTTAACGTTATTGTGTAACTTGGGTGAATATAGAAATGACAGCCGAGAGCTCACTAGTACTTATTGTTAAACACACATGGGGCAAAATCTTACTGAAGCGACCATACGAGTCATAAATACTCATACTCCGCCCAAGTAAAACAGAAACAAGCACCACTTAGTGGGCCAATCAGAGGCTTAGGGCCCGCGCAGGAATATCCCTGCAAAACAAAAAAAAAAAAAAAAAACTAGTGCTTAACTTTATTGAATGAAGATACAGACGGAAATAGACAGTATTTTTCTTGGTGTTCCAATCCAAAATTTTACTTCTTTTTTTTCGCCTTTTGCAACACCGGTAGTACAGTAGGGTTCGTTTTCGACTCACAATCGGGAATTCCGGGTTTCGAATCCCAGGTGAGTCAGAAATGGTTGGCCGGGTTTCCTATCACCTAATGGCTCTGTTCACCTAGCAGTAAGTAGGCATCCAGGAGTTTAGACAGCTAGTTGTGGAGATGAATCCTGGGGGAGAGAAGTCCTGCGTTCGACCTTTGGGAAAGTGGGGGGGGGGGGGGGGGGGGGGGGGAGAGAAGAAGCAGATTCGTTTTGGCACGTTTTCTTTCACCTGGTACCTCTGTTCACCTAGCAAAAAAATAGGTACTTGGTAGTCAGGCTGTGGGTTGGCTGCGTTATTGTGAACGTTGACGTTAGCTGCGTTATTGTGAACGTTGACGTTAGCTGCGTTATTGTGAACGTTGACGTTAGCTGCGTTATTGTGAACGTTGACGTTAGCTGCGTTATTGTGAACGTTGACGTTAGCTGCGTTATTGTGAACGTTGACGTTAGCTGCGTTATTGTGAACGTTGATAATAACCTGAGACTGATGAAATCTGTACCTGAGGCTGCCAGGTGTGGCCAGGGCAGGTGTGGGCCAGGGCAGGTGTGGGCCAGGGCAGGTCTGGCTAAAACAGGTGTGGCCAGGGCAGGTGTGGCCAGGGCAGGACCTGTTACTGCCAGGTGTTTACTCTGGATTTGCCACTCTGTTCAAAAAAATGTAAGTTCTACCTAACCAGTAGACTACGAACCCATTCAACCCACCAAACCCATCGAGGCCAAAGTCAGAAAACGTTACGTTGATTTATTGTTTAACAAACATTGCCTTTGTAACGGATTAGTCGACTCCGTCGATAATTGGACGTATTACGATGAAACGAAGGCGCTTGTATCCTAACTATTGACAAGAATGGAAATTGTCTCATATGAATTTAATTTTGAGTTGATGTAATCGAGGTGTATACAGTACTTACTTAAATATATGTATAGAGCGCACGCAAGGTATAGAGCGCACGTAAGGGTGTGTGAGAGAGCAGGTTAGGGCCGCCAGCAGCCAGAGTGAGCAGCGGCCTTCTACTGAATGCTGACGCTGCTCCCTGGCCATCAGGAGGGTAGCAGCAGCTCCCAGGCTTGCTCAGGTTTCCTCTGGCACTCGCTACTTCCCATATTTATATTTCCTTCCTCATTTCCCCCCCTCAGTGTTACGCCTTTCACCCTTACTCATTTTTTGTTCCCTCATTACCTTCTCTCTCTGTGTATTTTGGGAGATTCCTTCACGTCATACTGCTATGAGTAATGTATTGTATATATATATATGTTTGTCATTATCGCAGCTATCTTCGTAAGCAACTATTGCTTCTCTCCACCACACACCTCCCCTCCCCCCCCACCTCCCTTGCAGGTCTTGCACGCCCCCCCATCCCCCCTCCTTGTCCTCCCTACACCCTCACCACACTACTGCCACACTCACGGGCTGCAGGTCTGTACCTCAGAGCAGGTCTAGTGTGCCGCACACACCACCTTGGCTATTCCCAGCGTCCCAGACAACTTCTGGTGAGTGTGGGAGGAATGTTCACTCATAGGATGAGTGGCGCTGCCTAATACTGTCACTTTGGCGGTGTGTTCACTCACAGTGTGAGTGGCGCTGCCCAATACTGTCACTATGGCGGTGTGTCCACTCACAGGGTGAGTGGCGCTGCCTAATACTGTCACTATGGCGGTGTGTCCACTCACAGGATGAGTGACACTGCCCAATACTGTCACTATGGCGGTGTGTCCACTCACAGGATGAGTGGCGCTGCCCAATACTGTCACTATGGCGGTGTGTCCACTCACAGGATGAGGGACGCTGCCCAATACTGTCACTATGGCGGTGTGTCCACTCACAGGATGAGTGGCGCTGCCCAATACTGTCACTATGGCGGTATGTCCACTCACAGGATGAGTGGCGCTGCCCAATACTGTCACTATGGCGGTGTGTCCACTCACAGGATGAGTGGCGCTGCCCAATACTGTCACTATGGCGGTGTGTCCACTCACAGGATGAGTGGCGCTGCCCAATACTGTCACTATGGCGGTGTGTCCACTCACAGGGTGAGTGTCGCTGTCCAATACTGTCACTATGGCGGTGTGTCTACTCACAGGATGAGTAACACTGCCCAATACTGTCACTATGGCGGTGTGTCCACTCACAGGATGAGTAACACTGCCCAATGCTGTCACTATGGCGGTGTGTTCACTCACAGGATGAGTGACGCTGCCCAATACTGTCACTATGGCAGTGTGTCCACTCACAGGATGAGTGACGCTGCCCAATACTGTCACTATGGCAGTGTGTCCACTCACAGGATGAGTAACACTGCCCAATACTGTCACTATGGCGGTGTGTTCACTCACAGGATGAGTGACGCTGCCCAATACTGTCACTATGGCAGTGTGTCCACTCACAGGATGAGTAACACTGCCCAATACTGTCACTATGGCGGTGTGTCCACTCACAGGAAGAGTGGCGCTGCCCCATCCCCATCATGTCCCAATCATGTCTGCCGTAGAACAAGTCTGCTGTCGAGTAACTGCTCCATTGTAGAGCAAGTTAGCAGGAATCTAATGATGGAAGTCTGGTGTAGAGCAAGTTTACTGTGGAGTAAGCCTGAATTTAGTAAGTAAGTCTAGATTTAGAGTAAATCTGCTGTAAAGTATGTTTGATGCAGCACAAGGCTGATGTAGAACAAGTGTGTTGTAGAACAAATGTGCTAAAGAACAAATGTGATGTAGAACAAGTGTGTTGTAGAACAAATGTGCTGTAGAACAAGTGTGTTGTAGAACAAATGTGCTGTAGAACAAGTGGGTTGTAGAACAAATGTGCTGTAGAACAAGTGGGTTGTAAAACAAATGTGTTGTACAACAAGTGGGTTGTAGAACAAATGTGTTGTAGAACAAGTGTGCTGCAGAACAAATGTGCTAAAGAACAAATGTGTTGTAGAACAAGTGTGCTGCAGAACATGTGCTGTAGAACAAGTGTGCTGCAGAACATGTGTGCTGCAGAACATGTGTGCTGCAGAACAAGTGTGCTGCAGAACAAGTGTGCTGCAGAACAAGTGTGCTGCAGAACATGTGTGCTGTAGAACAAGTGTGCTGCAGAACATGTGTGCTGTAGAACAAGTGTGCCGCAGAACATGTGTGCTGCAGAACATGTGTGCTGCAGAACATGTGTGCTGCAGAACATGTGTGCTGAAGAACAAGTGTGCTGTAGAACAAGTGTGCTGTAGAACATCTGTGCTGTAGAACATCTGTGCTGCAGAACATGTGTGCTGCAGAACATGTGTGCTGCAGAACATGTGTGCTGCAGAACATGTGTGCTGCAGAACATGTGTGCTGTAGAACATCTGTGCTGTAGAACATCTGTGCTGCAGAACATGTGTGTTGCAGAACATGTGTGCTGTGGAGCAGCGCACATGTTCTACAGTTACGATCTGACGTTAGACATATTTAGACAAATCCGAAAATGTTTATGTTTATAATGTTTTAAATTACGGACGGAGGGGTGGGGGATGTATTATTATTTTACCTTTTTGGGTCAAAAATATCAAAATAGATTGCATTAAAAAAATAAGTGTTTCGGCATGCCTAACTTCCTCGAGAAAGTGATTTCTAACTTTGTCTGCACCTTTCCAGTGCCTGAAGATTCATCTTGTATATCTCTAAGGACGGAGCACAGACCTACAGTGTGCTCCAGAAGGAAAAGGAATGGGGTACAGACCTACAGTGTGCTCCAGAAGGAAAAGGAATGGGGTACAGACCTACAGTGTGCTCCAGAAGGAAAAGGAATGGGGCACAGACCTACAGTGTGCTCCAGAAGGAAAAGGAATGGGGTACAGACCTACAGTGTGTTCCAGAAGGAAAAGGAATGGGGTACAGACCTACAGTGTGCTCCAGAAGGAACAGGAATGGGGTACAGACCTACAGTGTGCTCCAAATGGAAAAGGAATGGGGTACAGACCTACAGTGTGCTCCAGAAGGAAAAGGAATGGGGCACAGACCTACAGTGTGCTCCAGAAGGAAAAGGAATGGGGTACAGATCTACAGTGTGCTCCAGAAGGAAAAGGAATGGGGTACAGACCTACAGTTTGCTCTAGAAGGAACAGGAATGGGCCACAGACCTACAGGGTGCTCCAGAGTGAGCTTTATGGCAGTAGTCTAATGACTAATATTTTGTTATCACGTCTTTCGTTTTAATATTAATGATCTTGTTTTAATATATCGAGGAATATGTAGATTCTTTCTTTGTGATACGGAAAAAAATTGTACCGTTTCTGGGCAAAATGGTCAGAAATAGATTTTTGTTTTTAAATAATGTAGTACCACTGTACCGCCAGTTTCAAATTGTATCGTTTTTGGTACAATTGCACCGCAGGTCAACACAGTTCATCCAGAAATGTCAGCACTGTGGAGAAATGCTCGCTGGAACATTATCTAATACAGTGCACAGTTACAAACCCATTAAGATTTCAACTTAGATTCAACAGAGCAGAAGTAGTTGTTAAACATATGGGGCAAAAGCTTACTGAAGCGACCATACCAGTCATAAATACTCATACTCCGCCCAAGTAAAACAGAAATAAGTAACACTTAGTGGGCCAGCCAGAGGCTTAGGGCTCGAGCAGGAATTTCCCTGAAAAAAAAAACTGTTCCTCCCTACTGCCTATGGGGGCCAAACCACGAAGATACAAACCATATAGTACACAACACGGTTCTCTAACGTATTTTAGTTCAAAAACCTAACCAACCTAACTCAGTACAAATCAACCTAACCGAACCCAACCGAGGTTAACACAGCCTGCCAAAGCTAATATACATTTAACCTTGCGCTATATATATAAGAAAAGTAGAAAACTATTTTTGTCGAAACGCTTGTGTACGATTTGAGGATCACCTTCGTATACCAAGCCCATGGCCTTCAAGGACCCGTCATACCAGGAGCCGCGGCGCCCTTCCGCAAGTCTCCTGCGTCGGTCACAATTCCCGCCGGGATGAGGGTCGACACCACGACACAAGAGGCTTCACTACACCTCCTGAAGTGGCTGTAGCGGGAATCCCTCCCGCCTTTTCGACACTTCTCTACACCGAAGGGAAAGGCAGGAGGGAGCGGCCTGGCAGCCATTACACCAGCGAACTAGTTAGTATTTGAAGTTTCTCCGTCAAACCACATTGCTTCACTAAACTAGTTATTTCAAATATCGCGAAATAGTTGATATTGGAGATATATATATACAACAACAATGTGGGTAAACTAAATATTTAGTAAGGGAAAGAAATAAGATGATGATCGAGGCTGGTAACGAACGCTCGATGATGGCCGCCGACCTCCGCCGGGCCACCACACTCCGGGTATAAGAATCTTTGAGTTTATATCTCGAATTACGATGCAATGAGGCCATTTCAGAGCGCGGCACAGCTCTGCTCTCTCGATGAGTTGTTGTAGATCACACCACTCACAATTTGACCACCACCCAAGCCCTACACTACAAGAATTAAGGAAATATTACCCCATTACTATATAAGTTTGTGGCTCGCCAACAACATCAAATTTAATCACAAAAATAATATACTTTCAAACCCTGTGTACCTGCTTGTATATATATATATATATATATATATATATATATATATATATATATATATATATGTATATATATATATATATCAGCAAATGTCTTTTAATAATTGCAAAATATATTAAGTATACTGAAATTACTGTATCTTATTATATGTATATATATGTCGTACCTAATAGCCAGAACGCACTTCTCGACCTAGTATGCAAGGCCCGATTTGCCAAAGACAGAATGATTTTCGTTATTTAAACAAAAAATTGCAATTGGTTTATTTGAATTAATATTTATAGATTCTATTAAGAAGGTGAATTACTAACTTAGGTATGTTAGGTAGGGTAGGTTAGGTAGAATAGGTTAGGTTAAGTAGGGTAGGATAGGTTAGGTAGGGTAGGTTAGGTTATGTTAGGTAGGGTAGGTTAGGTAATGTTAGGTAGGTTAGGTTTGGTCATATTTCTCCGTTATTTTTAACTCAGATTAACAAAAACGAACTCATACGTAATGAAATGAATAGCTT